TAGCAAAAATTAAAGCATCGCATCAACTTAGAGCAAAAAGCTAAAGCAATGCGTCAAATGTGTAACAAAATATAAAGCAACGCCTCATTTTTGTTGCATAACTCGAAGCAAAGTTTTTATTTTAAGCTTCATTTAATCCAATACTTTATTTCCTTATAGAAAAGCTAGAGCTAAAAGTTTAAGCCCTTTTATTGAGTTGTAACTGAAACTATGTAATTTTATAACAAATACAAAACTCGCCAATGAATAAAATAATTACATTAAAGCACGATACACCAAGTTCATCAGAAAGGGAAATCGCACATCCATTAAAAACTCAACACATCCCTTTTAGCAATTATTTAAAAAAAATTTTAATAAATTAAAATCCAGAAACTTTCCATAAAAAATAAATCACACAACGCCAATGAAGAGCAGCGAACAACAGAATTAAAGCACCACGTATGTTCCTGTTTATCGACAATTATTGCCACGACTGTAATACAATATTTACACTAATATACTCACTCCCAACCACCTAGTGGGTCAACAAAATTCTGTTTATTGTATATGTTATCGGTGAAATATGTGAAATAAAATATAAAAAAATGACTATACACATATTAAGCTGGTCATCATCACTACGGAAACGAAACATTTCAACACAACCTGATTGAATACATGCCAGGATCGTACATTAGTATCGACATCATGCAATAGTCTATGCAGGACTTATAGTTTTAAAAAAAAAGTTCAGTTCTGGTTGAACATTGAACATGTTCTGAAGTTTATTTCTATTGCCTTTATCCATGCACTGTAGTGAAAGTAAGGCCTCATTAGTAGGTGATCTGTGGTGGAATTCAGACATAGAAAAATAAAATTATAATAATAATATTTTGAAGTGATGATGACTAGTCATCAAAAAGTGAAATTGAAAATAATTTTTAAATTCATATTGATTTTCCTGTCCCTCATCCGTGGATTAAACTGTCAGACAAGTCAGAATATTAACGTATGTAAGTACATCGCTGAATAAAAATAATAATTAAATTAATTAATTATCATCAGTTGCTTTATTAAGAACGTGAGGAGATTAAAAATGCTAATTAAAGCAATTAATTCATTTGCCATTATTATATGAGAATAAAAACGTTAATATGAAGCTCATTCATGTACTTTTAAATGCCTCAGGATTGAAATTTTTTTTTATATAAATTGAAATTAAATTTCAATTTTGCGTATTTTTGTAATGAATGCGATTATGGTAATCTGTTTAAATTTATCAATCATGGGTTTATGGGTGACTTTATATTATTTGTAATGTAATTTTTTGGGGGAAAATTGAAAATAACGAAAGGGATGAAACATTTACGGCGTTATTTTAATGTGAGGATGTGGATTTTTGGCTGGGTTCGTGCTGAATTTGCTCGTGTTGTATTGGATTAGGGGACTTAAGTGATGATTTAGAAAGGTATTAAATTCAGTTGGGAGCCATTTAGGCATTACGTACGACTAAATGGAAGAATAAGTGGTCAGATATTGGTTAAATAAAGATTTGAACTCGAAATCATCTCAGATTTTTCCGAATTTTCTAAAATTTGAATGGCACAAGTTGATTAACCGGCAACAAGTAGATGTGCGTCTGGCATGGTGCTAGCTGTCATGCCAGCTTGGTACCGGATTTCTATTCGATTAACCGACTTGTGACATTCAGGCAGGTTCGTGAGTAAGTTCAATTCCATGAGTCATATCATTTTTACATTGAATAAGTCGTTTTCAATAGAAAATTGCGCAGCTACTTAACATTAATTTTCCATTTTCCTTTCAAAAATTATATTTACACAATCAAATGCCTTTCCATCTTTTTCAACCCACATTGAAACCAAACCTTTGATCTTTCATAAATCACTTCAAGAAAGTTGTCACAATTTTCTTTTCTTTTTATCATAAATCAATGCATCAAATAAACAAGCAAATCTCATGACAGAAATACTTGAAAATAAACATTGTGGGTTGTCAAAAAGTGTGTCGTAAAGGTCAACCGCAAGGGTACATCGATAAATCAGAACATAAAAAATATAATGTTCAAATCAAAACTCGATTTTTCATTTTGAATTGATTTGTTAAGGTGATAATTTGGTTAACTTCTTGTTACTTTATTAAGCTGTGAATCGATTTTTATTTGACATCTGGAACCTTGCAGTCAATTTGGGATTATTATTCAGCTCATGAAAATTTTCAAATTATTTTAAATGTGTTAAAATTCAATAAAAATTTGCTTCCAAAATATTAAACCTATTAAAATTCTATTGAGATAAAACAGTAATTTCTTTCAAATTTTATTTCGACTATTTTTTCCCAATAAAAAACATCAAAAATCACTTTAACCCCAACACACTTGTGTTCCTTGATCCTTTCTTCCATTCTATTTTTAATAACAGAAAATGGATGAAGCTATCGCTAGACTCGATACGATATTTTCTTCAATTTAATATAGAATTTCTTGATTCGAGTTATGATTATTGAGGATATAAATTTTTAATGCTTTCGACCCAAATTTTCAACAATATCTGAGAAAATTGAGTTGAGTTGAAAATGGATGTTGGTGGTTAAGGTGCATTTTTGATAAATTTCAGTTAACTTTTGAATGATTTATTAAAAAGTTGATTTTTTTGAATTTTTTATGTTTTCAAAAATTCTGACTTTTTACAAACTTTTCAAAAATTTATTTCTTTAGATTTTTGCAACTTAATTGAGTGTTTATTTATTTTTTTTTAAATTTTAAAAATTAAGCTTTTAGAAAACTTATAAAAAAATTGAATTTATTAAAAGAGTAAGTCAACCGACAAAGTCAAAGGTGCAGAATTAATAAGTACGATTTTGATTAATTTTGATCATTTTGATAATTTTTTTGATCAGTTCCGCACCCTTGGACAAAGTAAAAGAAGCGAAATCTTATCCTTAAAAATTCTCACACTTTAAAAATAAGAAAAGAAAATCCTTTTCATTCTTCAATGAAACGAAATTCAATGCCTTTTCTGTCACTGATTCATTTTTATTTATATATCAGCGATAACTTGTTGTGAAGGCTAAGAATATGCTTTCAGGACTTGAATCGCACAATAAAAGAAAAAAAAACTTTTTTCTTCTTTCTCTCTTTTTTTGGTCAAACGAAACCTTTTCTTTTTGCACAAAAATGTCATAAAAATAATTTTGACATAAAATTTTATGATTTAGATACAAAAGAGGCTGGCAAACGAGCAGAAAACTTCATCTTTTATGTCGGGGGGTCGAAGGGATCAATTTCTTTTTTTTCTGTATCTTCCCTTTTTTCTGCTCGGATCATATGGTAATTTGTAAGAAAGTACTTTATGGATATTTATATTTTTTGGGTTCAAAATGAGTGGTTTTAGAGTGTCATCATTAAAAGCATATATTTTATATCATAAAATAGTGAACAAGTTCATAAATTAAAATTTATTGGAAAGCTTTCTGCTGAAGAATTTTTATATCATGAACTTTATGGGATATTAGGCATTTAGAAAGGCAAATTTTTGAGCTGTTAAAAGACAGCACATATTTTTTTTTATAAAATAGCGAATTTTGGGTTCTCTTTTTGAATGCCTTTTGAATTGAAAAATTTATGTTTATGTGTATTTTTATGTCGCATAGTCATTCGGATGCTTTGTTTGCATTCAAAGCTCTTATTTATGAAAGTAATTTTCTCTGAGGCAATTTAGGATTTTTTTTGGAATTTCAAAAACAATTTTAATGCCTTTCTAGTTTAAAATAGCTTTTATATTTTTTTGCAACATATCTTACCATTCCTTGCCTGACTTTGAGTCTATTTCAAACCCGAGCTACACAAATCGTAAAATTCTTAACACAGATCCATCAAGACTCTTCCACAAAGTGATTTTTGATTAAGTCTGGCAGCCTTATAGAGTCTTTTTGTTTGTGTCGCTCGGAAAAGCATCCAGCAAGTCCTTAAAAATTAAATAAATTCAGATTTAATGTTTTATAGACCATTAAAAATATTAAGAACCATTAAAGTTGAATACTTCAACCATTATTGAATTCCAAAATTCAGTTCATTAAAACATCAATTTTTAAAAACGACAAAATTTCTGTTTCTTATTCAGCATTACAATTTCTAAATTGTTTCTGCTTCAAGACGTCAATTTCCTTCATTGCCTTTAAGCTTCTTGTTTGAAAAAGTATTTTAAATGTAAAACAATTCAAATCGCTTCAGTTAATGCTGCTTATTAAAATTCCATTTCCTTTCCTTCAACTTGAGAGATAAAAGACAATGGAAATTCCTACTTCCAACCGTAAATAAATAACGAAAATTCTATTTCAATGAAAGTTAATTAAACATTTTCAAAATACCTGAAATGGCATTTTTACCTACATACCTTGATAATATTATTTTATTTTGCTGCTGTCTCTTCCTTTCTGACTCTTATTTTTTCATTAATTTAATCCTCCCATTGAAAAAAACTCAACTTCTGTGATTTTTCATGTACCTGTACAAATTCAAAGTAAAGTAAAAATGGAAGAAAAGTCTCTGACAAGTGTCGAGGCTCATTAAATATTTAAGCAGCTGTAGCTTCGACTAATAATTAAATTCTTCATTAAAATTTCATTTTGAAATAACAAATTTATAGCTTCTGTACTCACTTTTCGACATGTTTATTTCTGATGGAATGAGCACTATTTTAATGTTATTAATTTTCCGGGATGAGTTTTTGAGATTACAGGTTGTTTGAAAATGTTTTGGTTACTGCTACGATAATTAGTGGGTATGATGACTGTTTGATCCATTTGAAAAATTACATGGTAATCTAGTTTGGGTATTAAGATAATGATTTAGCAGAAGAAGAGGCAACATGGTCCATATTACCTAAGATTTGCCTAGCTACTAGATCCTAGGGAGCTTCTAAGCTTTTAACATTAATAGCTACAATTCAAAACATTAAGAACCTAATATCAATCCTCGATCTCTTTATCTTAATCCACAGTATTCATCAATGAAGTCGGAAACGATATCGCACAAAAAGCATTTGAGGTAGCTATAGGATATATCAAAAAGAATCCAAATTTAGGATTGAGTGTGGAATATACGTTAGTTGAAGGCAATCGAACAGACAGCAAAGGACTACTGGAATCGATATGTACGACATATGCAGCAAATCTACAAGAAAACAAGAAGCCTCACGTAATCTTCGACACAACAAAGACAGGTGTATCATCGGAAACTGTTAAGTCACTCTCAGCAGCACTTGGTATACCAACAATAAGTGCGTCGTATGGCCAAGATGGTGATTTGAGGCAATGGCGTGAATTATCAGAGAAGAAGAAAGCTTATTTGCTACAAGTTAATCCACCTGCTGATTTACTGACAGAAGTCGTCCGATCTATTGTCATTTACATGAACATTACAAATGCTGCTATCCTTTATGATAACTCATTTGTTGTGGACCACAAGTACAAAGCATTATTACAAAATATTCCTACTCGACATGTTATTACGGCCGTTGCAGCAAACAAACAAGCAATTTCAGAGCAAATTACAAAGCTTAGGAATTTGGATATCAACAACTATTTTATTTTGGGAAAGATTGAGTCAGTTAAGTTGGTGCTTGGTGAGTAAATTTTTGTGGGATTGAGTTTGTGGCTCATCATTCCGTACATCCATGCATCCTTATCCTACATTCTTCAAATGGTCTGGATTGGTTTTAAAACCCTTATTAAATTTGTTTAGGATCTGATGAAACCTTTAGAGTACATTCTAATATTTTCTTCTATTTGCTTGGGATTCGAACCCATGTCTTGACATAAGTTTAAGGTGATATTTGATCTGTAATTCACAATCTGATGACAAATTGACTAAACATTACTTTTTCCAGCTTTTGTACCTATATATGGCTCAATAACTAAGGTTCTGATCTCATTAGACTATAAAGACCATAAATTATTTACCTATTCAAATTATTCTCACTTCTAAATTAATCGTTCTATTGAATAATTCATAAGTCGATCTGAAAACATGAAAAGTAATTTTCACTTTCATCATACACCACACATAGCCTCCGTTATTGATTTTTCCATCAATGTCTTCTTTATTAATTTAATAATCACCTCAATAAACTCATTAAATTCATAAATCAATTTCTATTTTCTCTCACTCGTTGCTTTTTTTACCTCTAATTCGATTCCAATTTTCATGATATATATCAATAGCACAATTCTCAACTTGTTAAGATATTGAATTGGTATAAAATTATGAGAAAGCAACTTTTTTTTGATGTTCATTCTCACCATGCTTTTATTTCTACAGAACGTCTATTAACACCTTGTCATTATCAACTTCAATTTGGCTCTTGTTTTTTCAACATGCGTGTGTGTTATTGAATAGAGTTTCTATGTTCATTTCGGTGATGATTCTATCAGTTTTGTGGCTATACAAGAAAAACTTTTCCTTTCCATTACTGTAATTTAGAATTGAATTAATGGACACGCATCATGTCACATACTAAGGAAAAATAATATAATATAATAAATATTGACAGCCATGTACATACATACATGTATGAATAAACTTGAAATTATTATTGATTTATTTCTGGACGGGTAATGGAATGCTTTTTATGAAATATTATGTTTGAGGAATGATGGGCATGGAATTTTCATGGTGAATTTTTCATTGGTCGGATCAAAAATTGTAGATTATTAAGTCAAGGGATAGTTTGGTGTTTTAGTAGATTTAAACCACGGAATGCCATTCTTCCATCATCGAGGTTGGGAATTAAGCATTCATAACAATCTATATGTCAGAAGATTGGTGTTAGTAGCCATAATGTTAGTCAAAAGACTAGTTATTCATTATTTACTGGTTTCCATAATACAGTTCGATTCTCATCCAGTGTGAAACTCGCTTCATAGTTTAAAAAGTCCTAAAAACACAGTATTGAGGGTAGACAAGGGGTCAACCCCAAACACTTGACTAGCTTGCTTATTCAATCTAATAGGACATTTTAAGAAGAAACATCTTCACATCCCACAGAAGCATCAAATACAATAATTATAGGTTATGCGCTCTATTAATCAGAACATCCCAACTTCCACGATGCTCCAATATTCACTGAAACAAACCAATCCATTAAATCAATTTACTATAAATTCCAGAATCAGCAAAAAAGGAATATTTCGAGCGTAATTTTGCATGGCACGCAATCACAGAAGCAAAGCAAGATTTAACAGCAGCGATAGAAAATGCAACAGTCATGTTTATTCGTCCGTCACCCGATGGAAAGTCAAAAGATCGATTGGGTACAATGCGAACAACATATAATTTAAAAGTAATTGTCTATTCCATCGACATTTATGAATGTCATCAACTAATATGAATCGTTTTAATTTTTTTCCCATTTAGTATGAACCTGAAATTGAGTCAGCATTTTATTTTGACTTGGCAGTGAGGACATTCTTGTCGGTAAAACAGATATTACAAGTCGGTGCTTGGCCTCCGAACATGAAGTATTTAACATGCGATGAATTTGATGGCACAAACTCACCCGAACACACAATTGATTTGAAGTCATATTTTGTCGAGGTAGATTATTATGTCCTTTAATTCACTGACCTTAGTCACTGTATGAAATAATTACACTTCATTCCAGTCAACGGAACTGCCAACATATGCGCCATTTGAATTTGGCAAAGGCAATGTTCCATTCAATGGCTACAGTTTTATGAAATTCGAGGCAGATATTAATGCAGTGACAATTCGCGGTGGTGCATCTGTGAGCACAAAATTGCTTGGCACATGGACAGCTGGTCTCAATAATGAATTGAAAATAGCAGCAATTGAAGAAATGAGAAACATGACAGCGGATATTGTGTATCGAGTATATACAGTCGTACAACCGCCATTTATTATACGTGATGAGTCAGCACCGAAAGGGTTTCGTGGCTACTGTATCGACCTCATCGATGCAATCGCAGAAATTGTCAAATTTGACTATGAGATAAAAGAAGTTGAGGACCAAAAGTTTGGCAGTATGAACGAGAAAGGAGAATGGAATGGTGTTGTACGTAAATTAATTGATAAACAGGCAGATATTGGACTCGGCTCGATGTCAGTAATGGCTGAACGTGAGACTGTAATTGATTTCACTGTGCCGTACTATGATCTTGTGGGAATTACGATTATGATGGTTCTGCCCAGCTCACCGAGTTCATTGTTCAAGTTCTTAACTGTCTTGGAAACAAATGTATGGCTCTGTATCCTTGCTGCTTATTTTTTCACAAGGTAATTGTTGTTTGTACATTTATTTGGGTAAATAAAAAAGAGTAAGCAAACATGCCCCAAAACTGTATTTTGTGAACGGAAGTTGTTATTTTTTTGACTTTTTTACGAGCTTCATTCATAAAATTTTTATTTATTTAATTTTTGTTATCTACTGAATGGAACAACAGCTTCTTGATGTGGATTTTCGATCGATACAGCCCCTACAGCTACCAAAATAACCGTGAAAAATATGTTGATGATGATGAAAAACGTGAATTCACGTTAAAAGAGTGCCTTTGGTTCTGCATGACATCTTTGACGCCACAGGGAGGAGGTGAGTTTTATTGTGCAAGTTGGTGTGGTTGGAATTGAACCAGCAATAACAAATGAAGCTTTTGGATGAAGCTTTGATTAGTTTTAAGAGTTTGAGACCATGCTGATGAGCCTTATCTTGCTGTACTAGTCGCTCTGGTTATTAATCAAACCATGAGCTCTTTAGCATGCCCCAAGTTCCAAGGACCACAATCTAAACTCAAACTTATAATCATAATAATTACACAGAAATATTTTTATTTCATTTTTTCAGGTGAAGCACCAAAAAATCTCAGCGGTAAAAAAATATTTTCTTTTGATTAATTTTTAGCAAATATTTGATGTACAGTTGTGGCAACAGAAAATGAAATAATTTATTTCCTCCTTTTCTTTTTATATCATCAAATATAAAATAACTGTAGGAAGGTAAGCATTAATTTTAATAAATTTTAAAGGTTGTTGACTTGGTACGGTTTATTTTCGGAGAAATATTGTTAAAGGTCAAATCGTATGGGAATTTTCATGAGGATAATCATGTGCTAAGAATATTTTTGGAGAATTTATTTACTTAAATTTATTTCCTGAATAGAATATAGAAAAGCTTGGAACTGTAGTCAATGATTTTGTTGAATTTAAATAGAGTTTTAATAAGTTCATAGTTGCCTAAGCTAGGTGTGTTCAGGAGGTAGCTGAAACCAAGATTCCAATAAAAATGACGACTTTCAGTTTGCTTGTGTGTTATTTAATACTAAACAACCTTTAGTAAATAAATTACAACATTCAATTTTAATAATGAATTGTCCTCCACAGACTCGTTGCAGCAACATGGTGGCTTTTCGGTTTCATCATTATTGCGAGTTACACAGCTAACTTGGCTGCTTTCTTGACAGTCTCACGTTTGGATACGGTAAAATGAACATTCAATCTATTATTCATACCAAAAAAATAATCGAGCAAATAATCATTTCAGCCCATAGAGTCGTTGGATGACTTGGCAAAACAATATAAAGGTTGATAAATGTGAATTTTTATCAAAAATAAATCACTGTAAAATTTATTCCTTTCCATTTCAGTCCTCTACGCGCCAATAAACGGCAGTTCAGCGATGACTTATTTCGAAAGAATGGCTGATATTGAGCGTCGGTTCTATGAGATATGGAAGGATATGTCATTAAACGATTCATTATCACCAGTTGAGAGGAGTAAGTTGGCAGTTTGGGATTATCCCGTCAGTGACAAGTACACAAAAATGTGGCAAGCAATGCGAGAAGCTGGCTTACCAAATACACTAGAGGAAGCTGTCGCACGTGTTAGGTACTGATAAGAGTGACATGAATTTTAAAAAAATTATTCTCATTTTGCCTTTATTTTATTCCTAGAAATTCAACAAATTCTGCTGGTTTTGCATTCTTGGGAGATGCCACTGACATCCGATATCAAGTAAGAATTGAGAAAATTCAATTAGAGTAGATTAAATTACATTTTATATTTCTAGGTCTTGACAAGTTGTGACTTACAGATGGTTGGAGAAGAATTTTCAAGAAAACCGTACGCATTGGCAGTTCAGCAAGGCTCACCGTTAAAGGATCAATTTAATAATGCGTAAGAACGTGCTTTCTTTAAAAATCTATCAACAAAATATTTTATAAATTCCTTTCAGCATCCTTCAACTCCTCAACAAGCGACAATTGGAAAAGTTTAAAGAACGTTGGTGGAAGAAGGATGACATTTCAGCAAAATGCGAGAAACCAGAGGATCAATCAGACGGTATATCCATCCAAAATATTGGTGGTGTATTTATTGTAATCTTCGTTGGTATTGGCATGGCATGCATCACATTGGCATTCGAGTTCTGGTACTATAAGCTACGTAAAACACCTAAAATTGTCTCAAACGATGAATACAACAAGTTCTCAAAGTCAGGTGACATGGCAACCATGAAAAATAATATTAGTTTTGGTTCCGGTGGATTAATTGATCCACCTGGAAATAATTTAAAGTCACGACATCCACCAGCCAATAATTTTCGTGCTAGATTTTAAATTTGTTGAATTTTGCATATTTTGTTATTAGATGTCAACTTAAAGTGACATTGAGGGTATTAGATTGTGATGGGAATTTGACTCAGTTGAGATGGAGAGGAAAAAAATTGTAAATTGATGAGATATTTTCATTAATCTTGTTCCTACTGAGTGGATTTCTTATAAATTGATTGGATATTGCTGTTAAGTTATGAATTGATTGATAGGACATTGTTTAGGATGTCGATGAAAATTTTTTAAAAAAACAAAAATTGTTGATGTTTTTGGATATAGATTATGAATTGGGTTTTTGATGGATTATTGATGACTGTTAATTTTGTTTACATCAGGGGCAAATGCTGAATTTTTTGAAAAATTTTGGTTCTGATTTTAAATTTTGGCATATGATTTATCCTTATGTTGCGCTAAGAATCCGGAAACCAACTCTAGTAGAAGCCTCTTAAGTTGTTTTAATTTTTGTTCCTTTAAATGCTACAAGCTAGAAATTGTGTGACCGTTTAGATACTCTAAATGCCCCTCTGGTACTTTTCTGATCCGTTATCAAAAACGTCTTTACAATTTCGTTTGTTTTGAGATCATTTAACAAAAAAACAAATTTTATTATTTTTCAAACTTTAATAAAAATTCAATTAGTAAACAGAATAATTATGTAAGATATCATAAAAATTTTAAAATGTTTCATTTAACTATAAAACTCAACATTTAATAGATTTAAAAGCTTTCTCTGTACAATAACAAAGCAAAAAAAGCACAAAAAAAATTTTGTATCGAAGTAAAACTTTTTTACAACAAAACAAAAAAAAATGTAAAACTTTGAGGAATAACAGAAAAGTAAAAAGTTGTTGATGTTTGTTCTTTGAATTTTTAGTAGATTGGTAAGAGAAGCAAGGGGGTTTGGGGATGCATCGATTGTAGTTTCTATTTGTTATTTGATACTTTGCATGCACATTTGATGTTTATTGTGTTGTAAAAATACAAGCAAGATTGAAATTACAGCAAAACAAGTGAACTTTTAAGCTTTGAACAAATAAAATCAAAAGAAAAGAAAAATAAAAAAACTTAAAAAATTATTTTCTTTGTAATTTTATTTACACTGAATGAACAAATGTTTGGTAAATATGAGCTCATGATTGTGGAAAACTTTTTTTGTAACAAGAAACTTTTTGAACAGTTTTAATATGGGAAAGACTATGGAAACAGGATGTAGAGAAGTCAAGAATATTCAATCTTGAGTGAAATATAAAACTTTTATTTCAATTGCATTGTATGTTCTGCTAATTGCATAAGTCTTAGGATTTAAATGCTTTACGGGCTTGTTATGCATTGAAGTATTGATAAGTTTGGTTAAGGATTTAGAATGGGACTTGATTGAATTATGTAGGAATCAGGAATGTAAAGTAATAAGCTTCAATAGTGCATTTGGTAAGTGTTTGAAATTCATGGAGTTTTACAAATAATCTTACGATTCTTAGTTCAAATCTCAGTTAAGAATTTCAATACAAAATTATTCTTTACAATGAATAATTGCTAAGTTTGTCGGAACTGAAACTGACAAAAACAAATAAACTAAATGAGAACAATATTAAGGTTAAGTTTCAAATACAATAGATTGTTCAGATCTAAGCCTCAAACTTCCAGTACACATGGATAGCTGATATGAAGAGATAAATGATATCAAGACTGAGGAAACACGACAAAGAAAACTGAAACTACAGAACTATTTTTGAACGACAAAAGTAAATGTCGCTTATATAAAGATGTTTCAGAACTATTCCCTAACATTGTCATTCAATATCACTAAAACTTATTGCCAAGCAAGCTAACAACACACAACATTGTCTCATCTACAAAAAAATTTCATTTCACTTCTAATTAAAAAAGTCATTGAAAACAAAGATATAAATTACATTACATTCCATTATTCCCATCTACAGCCAACACAAGGTTCTACATTTTATTCTACGAGATGATTACAGCCTTTTTCCTCACCTTTATCATTATGTGTTGGAGTCATTCAAGTATGACGTCTAGAAAAAGCCCTGTGATGCTGTGGTGATATAATAAACAAATCTTGCATTTAAAAAATGTGTCAAAAAAGCAAAAAATCTAGTTTCTTGGTTGACGTCATTAGTGAATAATCCCCATTTTCTTTCTCGAATACACAAGACAGAAGGAAAGTTTTTATTCAAGGCATATAAAAAAGCTCTTATGTTATTGTTTTGTTTGCCTTCCTCTTCATGTTCACATTACCTTCACAAATGACTGAGCGTGTGCACAAAATAAAGAAGTTTCTATATTCCCAAAAGAATCACCATAAAAAAAGTTTCTTTCCATTTTCATTTCATTCATTCATCATCATATAAGGAAACTTTCTCTCACCTTTTTATGCTGCCTCGCAACTGTGAATAAAAATTTGTGCTTCCTCTCTATGCTGTTCCACTTTGATTGATTGGAAAAGTTTTTTAAGGCATAGCAACGGTTGCTTTGAGTTATGATGCTTCAGGTAGCAAAGGAATCAAATGACGTGGAAAAGATGATGAATGGAATTTTGTTCATGCTTTGTTTTTGCAGTTTTTTTGTCTTTTGCTTCTAGTTTCCCGTGAAGCACATGATAGATATGCATTTATTGGGCATAATTACTCACTTACTTTGCTGGCCGTACAGATCAATAATTGTGGTCCATGGCCTGACTTAGATTGCGCCTGAAGCTGGCTCTATCACTGGCTTTCGTTTGCCAATTACCAACACCAAATGCAATGTTGGAATGCATTACTGAAGGGTACAATCAAACTTATGTCATCGACACAAACTAGTGACAATCTAGGTCATTATGTTATGGTTCCCTAGAGTCCATACCAAACCAAATCCAACCAAAAGAAATCATATGCTGCTCGGACAAAACCCTCAAAGTTAAAAATGAATTTACTTAATAATTTGCCAACAACGACTTTTGACCTGACACAAATCGATCTTCATTCCTTCTACTCCAATGCTGAACTTCAAAGTGACAATAATCAAATTTTCTCATTCATCAATTTCAATTTAAAATGCTGTTTTGTGTTTTGTTCAACTTCAGATCGCAAAACAAAGTTGTTTTTAAATCAAATGATTGATGCTTCTTGTGAATAACTTTGACTCGAGTGACCTTCCTCTGTTGAAATCTTTTACATTATGTAGATAAAAAATGACCTTTGACTCTTATTCAAATTAAAAAGTTTTCGTTCATTCAAGTGGATGAGGATAAAACGAGTTGAAAGGATGCTCAATAAAGAAAATTGCAACCCGTAAAAGTTCAATGGGATCATTTTAAAGGGTAAAGTAAGTTAGAATTGATCCTTTATTGACACATATTCATGAATGATTCATGGCTGAACAGTTCAATGTGGGTGGATTATTGATGACAGTAGGAAGGACGGTTGACTTGTTAGATATGGAAGTGGATGAATTGAGAATGGATATTCAGGTAACTTTTTGCATTTAGAAGTGGATGGAAATATTGAAAATTTAGAGATTTTTGAATTATTAGCTGTTACGTGACTTTTTGATCCTTGAATTTCTAAACTTAAAGAACAATGTGGAACTGAAAAACCAATCAAGAATCAAAAGAAGAATCGGAAAACTTTCAAATGAGAAAAGTGTGTCTATTGAGAATAATATCGATTTAATAAGATAATGCGATACTCATTGTTGCTTCACATGCTATACATCAGCCTCATTTCATCATTATCTCATGCCACTTTCTACTCTTGTATTTATGCTGTATTTATCATGTAAAATATTGATGCTTTGAGAGTTTTTGATACTCGAAAATGTTGAAAATAAAAGTTTTAAATGTTCAATAATGGATATGATAATATGGATTGATGATTATGAATAGACAGAACGGAAGCTACATTCAAGATATATAGATGGGCTCATACAGAGTATACTTGACCATACTCGACCATACTATTTTTTGTGTACTTATACAAACAAAATTTTTTAAAATTTTCTATTTTCAAGTTTTCATTTAAATATCGACAGACGCAACAACATTTGACTTTAGTCAGTTACTTTTAATTAAAGCAAAGCATTTGCAATACTCCTGTATCAACAAAACTTAACAGAAAGTTGAAAATTTTGCAAAACAAAAATTGAAAATTTTCTATTATAGTGTTAGTGTTTTTAGAAAATTCAAATTTTTGACGTTTAAAAACTGCGATATTTTTGTATGAGCACATCTATATATCTTGGCTACATTATAGACACTTTATCATCATCAGCAGCATTATGGTTTCTGATAATTCATTAAGGACTTTTACGTTAACATCGAAAATCGTTGTTATGTAGAAAACATGATGAACCACTTTACCGTAACCAACATGTAGAAGCTAGTGCATTAATGGATAGCAAAAGTTAAACATCAGATTCATAATTTAATTTCACAAACACTGTGTCATGGCTTACAAGAAACACATTAAATTATACCTAAACAACAATGTACATTTTAATAGAAAGCTGACAATTTCCATAAAATTTTATGCATTACAGCGACAGCATGTTCATGTATAACAAACACACACACACACACCCATGCATGTTAAGGATTCAAATCATATATGCGTGATCCGCACAGCTATAATGTCGTAAATGTTTTCAATGTTCATAACAAAAAAAAAAACACATTTTCTATATCAAAAATTATGTGTTAAGAGATATCAAAATAGTTTATGTGACAACTGCTGCCATTTTCGACGCCACAGAAACGAAAGTCAATTTTTTTTGCTGAAAAACAAAATTTACATGAAAATGTCCTAAACTATTGTTGGAATTAAATGAACATGATTTGTATGTGGGAGATAATGTGATGTTGTATTTGTTCATAAATCATGATAGTAATGCGGCTGATGTGTTTGATGTGACATAAATTGAAAATAGAATGTGTGTGGATTATTGCGAGATATGGGATGTAATAAAGCTTTAGCACTTGGCTTGGTTTACATGGAAATTTATGTAGATTAATTAAGGGTGGGGCTGATTGAGTTCAAACAGACTGGTTTTGTAAAGTTAATGCAATATTTTTTTTATTGTTGGAATATTTAATTAAATTTTAGATTTTTCTGCATCCTTGTTGATTATTTGGTCACCAGCTTTTACCAATGCGAATAATGAGATTGCGGCTATTGATCCTGATACAATGTAATTTGCATACTTCAATCTGAAAATTCATTTAAGGGTCGTTCACTTATGACGTCCGAATTTAACGGTCATTTTTCATAAAAGAACAATGGATTTCCAGGAATTTCTATTGTTTTTTTCTTGCTGACCCCCCCCCCCCCCCCCCCCTTAGACGTCATAAGTGAACGGCTCCTTATGAAATCTTTTCACAATATATTTGAAATAATTTCTTTTTACCTAGCAAACTTCTTTTGAGCAGCAATTGAGCATGCAGTCTTATCATTCGTCATGAACTTTCGGATGCCAAAATAAAAGTCATCAATGTAACTTCTCCAATTGTATATTTTTGGATCGAAATTAAAAACTTTCTGATCATGTTTGTCCATTGAGGATAAGAGTTTTGGACCATTTTCAGTTTTCCACATTATTGAGGTGTTCATGATAAATTTAAGTTGACTAGCTCCATATTGAACTTTGTTGTAATAATTAACAGCTCTGAAAATTAACAAGTTTTGAGAAATTAATAAGTCATTAAGTTAAAATCATCAACATTTCTTAAGTGTGAGTATTTACTCTCAACATTTGGTGCTATAAATGAAGAAACTTATACTTACTTTCCATCTATTCCTCTCAATTTATCCACAGCATCACTCAACAAAGCAGGAATGTAATGAGTAAGAAAAGTGTCAATTTTAAACAAAGTTCTTGATTTGTAAAATCTTGTTTGTGGATACCAGCGCATCAATTCTGAAAGAATTGAATGTAACATAACATAGCTATTAAGTTTTTAAAAAAAAATCCTCACCCGAAGGACTTTTCTTTCCTGCATCACGACTATATTGACAAATTTCTTTAATTGTAATAGGATTTGTGGTTCCTGAAACACAATTGTAGACGAGTGGAGACGAAATTCCCGATTTTGAAACACTATCAATTGCGATTTTCCATGAAACTGCAATCACTTGGTTGATCACCTTTATAATAAAGATTATTAATGCTCTATTAATGAAATTTATTGATAATATGATGTTTTCAGTAACAAGATCTCTTTCTTAATCATGATAAGGTTTCAAAATTTTAATAATTACTTACTATATCTACAGGTATGACATCAAACACATAATTTTTATGACAGTTTAAAGCACGAATGACACCTCTTGCCGATTGGTCAACTAATGGTGTTGTAGCCTTAAAATAAATAAGTTTATAAATTGGTTAATAATTGGCTGTTCACTTATATTAGGAAAATGAAGAATTGGGATCAGAAAGTCTTGAACGTTCGATTTTCTTGTTTTAGCGTTACGTAAAAAGCAAGGCACGCCCATGGAAATTTTTTTCAATCCAGATCAATGAAAAAATTGCATCCGATTTCATCTGGAGCAAAATAATTATTCCTCCGGTGTCTATGAATTAGTAAAAAGGTTCCTAAGGACATTTCAAGGACATCGCTGGTCAAGGTCAAATTTTATTCATGCGGTCAACTACCAGTGTCTCCTAGTATAGATCCACTATTAACTAGTATTAAGATTCAACTGGTAATTATTCAAAGAAATAAAAACTCACATACCGTATAGCTGTCAACCCATCCTGGATGTGGCTCTGCAAAACTGGCTCCAACTTAATTAAAATTAATTAAATCAAATTTTAAAGTTCATAAAAAATATGATTTTTTTTATTATTTCTTACCAACTGATGGCCTGACAATCGCAAACGGGAAATCCTTTGGAGTTTTCACTGCAAGATCTTCAGCTAAACTTTTTGTAAAAGTATAAATGTTCACGTGTTTTCCATATAGTTTTGGAGCCAACTGTAAAAGTGAAAAAATTAAGCAGTTGATTAAAAGATGATTCTTTAAAATCATCTACCTTTTCCAGCTGATCATCAGGAGTAGAATTGAAAAGATCAATGATGTACTGTGGATCAAATTCAGCTGGATAATGTTTTTCTTCAATGACTGGCTGGAACCAGTTGGAATACGCTGTCGAAATGTGGACGAAAGACTAAAATTGTGCTCAAATGATTAAAAGTTCTAGAAAATATAAATTGAACTTACTTTTAGGTTCTTCACTTCCTTGCTCAATTTCAGCAGCTCATTTACAGCTCTTAAATTTGTATTTACAGAATATTTAAATGCTTCTACAAACCTTACTGTTGCAGCTGAATGAATAATCACTGACACTTTATTGCAAAGCAGTTCACGATTTTCTTTAGAAATTCCTAAGCCAAGGTCCGAAGTATTGCCTTCAATTAAGACGATTTTGTTTAAGGCTTTCTGATTTTTTTCACGTAAAAGATCAAAGCATTGAGAAGCTGTCAAATCAGCAAGTCTTTCGTCGATACTTTTGCCTTTTTTTGGACGAACCAACAAAAAGATATTTTCAATTCCTGGACATGATCGGAGAAGTTTTTCAACTAAAACTTTTCCAAGAAATCCAGTTCCACCGGTGATGAAGACACTCTTTCCATTATAGAATTGAGAAATAGTCGATATTTGATTATCATTTGGATTCATTTTCACGAAATTTAATTAAATTATCACTTTTTAAAATTCTACAGCAAGCGACACTGCAAGCTAAGAAGTTGATCGAAGAATGATCTCGGAAAACAAGCGGAATGAGTTTGTAAAATTTTACAAAAAGAAAATTTCAATTAAAAATTATTTTGTTTTCGTAAAAAGTGTTTATTTCACGCGTGTTGACAATGATAAGTCACACGAAGGTCACACGTGTGTTGTTTTGATTATTCTCTTACACTGATCATGACAAGATCATGATTTTCCAATTCCTGACCTACTCCAATTCACTTAAATGACGAAACATTTTCATTTTCTTCATTTTTACGGATGATTTTGTTGCCAAGTTTTGTGACGGCAATTAATGAAAATGCAACTATTGATCCTGATAGAATGTAGTTCATGTATTTTAATCTAGAAGTTCAAAATTAAGATGTTTACATGGAAATGAATAAGATCGTAAAAAGTACTTAGCGAATTTCCTTTGAGCAGCAACAGAGCCAACACTTTTATCATTAAAAATGAATTTTCTAACGCCGAAATGATAGCTATCAAAGTAGTTCTTCCAATTAATAGTCGTTGGATCAAAATTGAAGTCTTTTTGGTCTGATTTGTTCATCGATTCCAGAACTTTTTTGTAATTTTTGCCATACATTTTAATTGGAGAATTTAAGACGAATCTGATTTGATCAAAAGCATGTTTGGAATTTTCTAAATGCTTTAAAGCTCTGAAAAATTTTAAAATTCTTAAATATTGACATTAAAAGCTTCCTATTGCTGCTTACCTTCCGTTTTCACCTTTCATCTTAGCATAACTATCTGACAAAAATGCAGGAATGAAATGAGTCCAAAAAATGTCAATATCATTTGAAAACTTAGTCTTGTATAGTCTTGTTTGTGGATACCATGACATCATGTCTATGAATTTACAGAATATTTAGTTCCTCAATATCTTAAATCTCAAATTTAATTTACTTGTTGGGTTTCTTCTTCCAGCATCTCGAAGAAAGTAGAAATAATTCTTTATTTTCAATGGATTTGAATTTCCGGAAACAGAATTATAGATTGTTGGTGCTGAAATTGCTAATTTTTGATGTCTATCTTGAGCGACTTTCCATGAAGCTGCAATTGTTAAATTTATTACCATATCGACAGGTATTAAGTCAAAAATAAGACTTTTATCGCAATGAACTGATCAACACATGCCTCGAGATACTTGATCAATGTAAGGTGTTGCAGCCTGTAATAAACATTATTTTTCATTTATTGTCTAAGCAAATGAAGTTTGCTTACTGTATAGCTATCGACCCATCCTGATTCTGGTTCAGTCATACTTGCTCCAACTTAAAATTGAAGATTTTTTAAATTTAAATAAGTTAAACTGTAGTTGTGTACCTGTTGATGGTCTGACAATTGCAATTGGCAAGTCTCTTGCTATTCTCGAAATAAGATCTTCAGCTAAAGCTTTTGAGAACGTGTAAGTATTGACGTGCTTACCGAGCAGCATTTCAGCAACCTTAATGTGGCAAATTACAATTTTTAGACTCTTGAGATTTTAAGTTCTACATTTCAGCCCTTACCTCATTTATTTGATCATCAGACGATGAATTGCACAGATCAATAATGTAATGAGGATCAAATGCAGCTGGATAAAATTGTTCCCCTACATCCATTTGATACCAGTTTGAATAAGCTGTAGAAATGTGGATGAAAGACTGCAAAAAGGTTGTCATCAAAAGTAACTATGACATTTGATGATGCTAGTTGCAAAAATTACCTTTAAATCTTTCACTTGACGGCTTAACTTGATCAATTCGCGAAGTGATCTTAAGTTCGCATTTATCACTCCTTTCAATGAGTCATCAAATTTAATATTTGCAGCCGAATTAAAAATCACTGACACTTTTGTGGCCAGTAATTCGCGATTTTCCTCAGAAATTCCTAAATCAAGCTTCGTGATGTCACCTTCAATCAAGACTATTTTGCTTATAGCTTGTGGATCTTTTTCTCGTAAAGTGTTAAAAACTTGAGAATTTGTCAGTTCTTTTAATCTTTCATTGACACTTTTATCCTTTTTAGAACGAACCAGAAGATAAACATTTTCAATTCCTGGACACGATCGGAGGAGTTTCTCGACTAAAACTTTTCCAAGAAATCCGGTTCCACCGGTGATGAAGACACTCTTTCCATTGTAAAATTCAGGAATTGATGTTATTCGATTGTTATCTAAACTCATGATTTTTAAATCAAATAGAACTTGATTTATTTTAAAGTTCACAGTTTGAGATTAGAATTTAGACTGAAAAATACTGCACACATTTGGATAAAGAAACTGTAAAAAGTATTAAGTTTGATGCTAAAATCAATTACACAGATCAATGCTTCTGTAATTTATTGTTTCTCCAAAATAAGCAAGTTTGAACTTACTGCTACACAGCTAGTTCGATTTAGATTATTGAAACCTGTTTGAAACCAAGCAGTTGGTTCTGATATATAAAAAAATATCATTAAGGATCCGTTTGCTTATTAATTTACGCAAGAATACTAGTTATTGGGGATTCAGGGGGTTTGGCCTAAGGAACTGAACTAAAAATATTAAATTCAATTCGAAGCTGCAAAGCTTCTTAAAATCCATGAGTGTTCACCCACAGCACTATAATTATTGCATCATTTAAGGCACTTCCCATAAATTTTTCCATCCTTGTTCATTTCTCTCTCGTGCACAAACAACATTCATTGCTGATCATTACGTTTTAACGCGTGCACATGACAAAAACAAGTAATACATGTACACATGTTGTCGAGTGCTCTGGAATGTCTCATGCCATTTAAGGAATAACAAAACGAAAAACATAAACTTACATGCATTTATGTTGAAACATATTTTATTTACACTCATAAATTAAGTAATGTTGGTTATAACATATTCAATTGTAGTACCATTCTGAGTCATCCACAGTCATATTGCTATCACTTCTGCTATTTGCTAATGCTCTTCCGTACATTTCCATCTCGACAATTTTCTCGAGCTCAACCGTACGTGACGATATTGAGCGTAAGAATATTTTTCGATTTCCAACTGGCTGCAGGTGTCGATAATTGTCAACAAGTAGCAGTCCTTCGATGCCATTCGATAAGGATCGAAATTTTGACATTTGACTGAGGGATATTGGAATTGTGTCGGGGAATATGATCCATGTAACGGCTTCATTGCAGGTTGGTGTCGTTAAGCTACCTAAAATGTGTCAATTATGGTTAGGAATATTTTTTGATGAGACATTTGGGGTTGGAGATGCATTTTATGAGAGGTATCGGACTAGATTGTTGTGCTAAAATTTTATGGACTTAAAGGTTCTCTTTGAGAACGAATGAGGAAGTCTCTGATACTTTTTTGATAGAAGATATGAAAGTCACCCCGAATTGCAATTTTTAAGGTCATTAAGTTATCTTAAAGACCTTCAAATTCACATTCAATTCAGTCAATATCTCACAAGCTAATAAAAAGTGTATATCCAAATATAGAAGCATCAACAAACCTCGATATGTATAAAATCTATTCGTATTTATGTTCCCAATCAATGACTGCAATGAAAATGAATATGGCAATGTGACACTATCGGTCAGTTCATTTAGGTCACTAAAATGTTTGACAATGTTATCAATCTCTTCACCGTTCGATAAATTTTCTCTAATCTGGTAGAAAAATGCTGCAATGAGAACAATAAAAAAATGTCGAATGAATTGCAAATTTTTCGAGCATTTGAAATAAAATTTATTATCCAGAATGAGAGTCAGTCTGGAAAAGTTGATAACAATGCTCACCGAGTACAGCCAATCCATCTCTATGCTCGAGTGCTTCCTCAATTGTCTGATATTTTCTATTGATATGTATCATATGCAACTCAAGTGGATATCGTATATCATTCAAAACATGCTCAGCCCCTCTCGAATTTTTATCACCCCAGTGAAAATGCAATGAGACATATTCATATTCATTTCTCAATTTTCCACCGAATATGTACGGATGATAATGATGTCGCGTTGAGTTTTCAGCTTTTGGTGTTTGGAGTGACACGGAATGTCCATTGTTACGTATTGTCAATGGGCCAGGAAGTGGATTGTGATAATAAATGAATTCTATAGCTGGCATCGCAGATGGAACTGCACGACGTGAATGAATTGAGACTGGTGATTGATGTCGACCGTTACAGTTCTATGTGTGTTGAAAAATATAATGCAATAAATCTCTTTGTTGTAAATTCGATGCTCAGTTTCTGTGCTTCGCTATGTTCCGTTTTGCAGAATTGCAAGGAGTGGAATGAGTTTTTTTGGTTTTTTGGTAAAATTCTTTTTCGAAAGTGAAAATCTCTTTAAAAAAAAAATTCTGTTTTCGAAAGTCAAAAGGTTATCTTCGAAAGTTAAAACTTATCTTCGAAAGTGAAAAAATTTAATTTCGAAATTTAAAATTTCATTTTCAAAAGTGAAAATTTCATTTTCGAAAGTGAAAACTTCATTTTTGAAAGTGAAAACTTCATTTTCGAAAGTAAAAACTTCATTTTCGAAAGTGAAAACTTCATTTTCGAAAGTGAAAACTTCATTTTTTTTTCGAAAGTTAAAAGGTTATTTTCGAAAATAAAAAATTATTCTCAAAGATTTAAAAAGATTTTCGAAAGTGAAAAAATTTAATTTTGAAATCTAAAATTTCATTTTCGAAAGTGAAAGTTACAGTGTAAAATCCATTTAATAACCGAATATAAACTTAAAACTTCAATTCACCAATCCTTGTGATCCGACAAATCTCCCATCCGCATAAAAATAATTCTTCTTTTTCTATGTTTGTCACTATCATGAATGAGAATTAATGTCCTACTCAGTGTATTCCATACATTGCAACTGTGTGCTATCAAACTTCTTTATATGTAATTTATATCACAATTATTGTACAAATAGAAAAGCTACAGAGCTCCGTGTCAGTACATCGGCAAATAAAATGTTGCACAAACATGCAATTTATAGCATCGTCATATTGTGTGTCAGAATTAGTATGGAGATGGGGTACTGCTTGTATCGATTTTTTTTCATGGGGTGTAGGAGGCAACCAGTTGGGGTTTAGTAGGGAGTTGTAAATGTTTCTTAGAAATTGAAGCTTTTCAAACAAATTTAAATCTTTTAGATATTCCAAACAGACATAAAATTTCCCGGTACATCAAACACCCGCAATAAAAGCATTCCACAGCATCCATCTGCACAGTAACTCAATGCACCCTAACACATTTTCCATTTTGCACTTACGAAGCTCGTTAAACATAATTTAAAATTGTTCTCTCTCGCAATTTAATTAACTCACCTTATGCTTCCTCTTCCACATACGCTGTTCTGATACAGAATATCCAAAGCGACTTGATACAACCATTAACATAGCGCTGAATAACACAACAATGAGAATAACAACCTCAACAATTCTCATTATTTATCACGTTCGCAGAATACTTTGAGATCTCAAATATCTGATGGCGAAATTGGAACTGAAAGATGTAACGAAAATGTATATCAGATGATATCGGTAGACACGAGACCGAATGAAATACAAACAGAAGTTGTAAGTTAATAAGTCACAAGACTGTTAGTTAAAATATGAGATAAGCAAGATGAGACGAGTAAAGGAAATAAAAGAAGCGACGACACAAATAAACTCAAATCAAGTTGAGAAGGTGACGACATCAGTTGGCTGTTTGAGTTGGGGAGGGAGGTGGTAGATTATAATTAAGGTGTAATATTCTAGAAATTTGAGAGATAAAGAGCAAGTCAAGTGCTTCTTTTAAATAAGAATAATTTAATTATTTTGAGATAAGAAGGAGATTTGAAAATATTTTTGTGATGGTTGGGTCAACTAATTAAGGGAGGTGTTGATTTTTAATTTGGTCGAGGTGCTAATGATAATTTGTTGCGATAATTTTGTTATACTAGAAAATAATACCTCTGAGCTTTAAAATCTAATTATCGCTTTGATTTTGGTTCGGGTTTTAATGTGATAAATGCAATTTTAATGTAAGAAGCTAATTTTTGAGTACAATGACTTCCGAAGCTAACCACTCTTTACCCTAGTACTACTTACTTCCTTGGCTGGGGCGCACGTGGGCCCATTGCCGCGTTCAGAGATCGTCTAAAGACAGCTCTATCCTTCGAGACTTTCTGCCAGTTCGGAATATTTAGGACTCTAGCGTCCTTATCAACACATCCAATCCAGGTGTTCTTTGGTCTTCCTCTAGATCTCTTGCCATCCACAAAGTCTGCAACAGTCACTCTTAGTACTGGGGCATCTTGTGGACGTCTAAAGACATTTCCAGCCCATCTCAAACGATTTGCACGGAGAACCGTAATAATATCTTTACCCTAGTGTCTTAAGTAAATCATACAAACTCAATCTTAACTGAAAAGTAGCTAATCATTTTCAGCAGTTCTAGAAACCGGCTCTAATCTATCAAAGAGGCTCGAATGTTTAGAGGGCAAATTTAAACTCCATTGCATTTCCTCCCTATGCCATGTCAAAGTTTCCTCAATCTTCTACTTAACCCAATTCTCAAAATTCGTCCCAAATAAGATAAATTTGATCATCATTTAAATTTCGCTCATTTATCTTTATTACTTGCTATATGATTCTTATTTTGCGAGTAATTTATGTGTCGTTACTGTTATCGGGAGGGAGGAGGAGTGTTTACAATTTTAAAAACCATTAAAAACAAATTCAGTATCGTGTTGAACCAAATTAAAAGCATGTAATAATTTGCATTTGGGGTAATTAAAAATTTTTGTAAACAAGATGTGACAGGTTTGATAACAATATTTTTTGTTGATAAAGTTTGAGGTAGGGTGAGGATAAATATTGTGTTGCTTGTGTTGATTTGGAATGGGAAGAAAATGATGGAAATTTTAAAATGTCTATTTGTCTGTCTGATTCGGCCTACATGTCCTGTTTGTTTTTCGATATGTCTACTCTTGTGTCTTCTGCTAGTAAGTAGGTCTAGAGCTTATATCTTGCTATACAAGGATCTCACTGTTTCTTGAATATCAAGAATCGTTACAATTTTTTTGCATTTTTGTTGTAGTTAAAATGTATTCAAGTAACAGACAAGAGAAGCGATAATGAAGTGATTTGAAGGAATTAATCGGATAATTTTCATCCGATAAATGTAAATATTGCCATGGAGACTGAACGTTAACATCACAACTCGTGCAATCTAATTAAAACTTTCAGCCAATTAATGCTAAAAATATTCTGCTTCCTCGTCTCATCTGAAAGAAATCTTATCAATCTTTAATGTTCAATAGATGAGCATTGAAAAGAAGCGAACCGATGCTAATTAATTTTAATTAAATATCTCAAACTTGTTGATGTGCTCATCTAAGCATTAATTTTTGCTCGTTATAGGCAACGTCTATGGATTATAAATATGCTTGTTGTTTTGCTTTACGTTTTGTTTATTTCTTATTTTTGTCGATGTTAATTGAATCATCACTTGCTAGTGCATAATTGAAATTAAATTGGTTCTGTTTTTTGATGCTTAAATTTTTGTGTAAAAATGGATTTGGTTAATTAAGAATTAACTTGTATGAGCTGCTCGACTCAAGAGTTTATTCAAGCTGCTTTCAGGAGTCAGTTGTTTGAAATAAACTACCTTAGCATACTCAAAAATAAAATCTGAGTTAAGTTCAAGTCAATTTGATTTCAAGTCAAATTGCGTTCAAGTCAAGTTGCATTAAAGTCAAGCCAAAATCAAGTCAAACTGATCTCAATTCAAGTTGAATTCAAGTCAAGTCGAAATCAAATCAAATTGAGTTTGAGTCAAGTAAAGTTCAAGTCAAGTTGAGTTCAATTCAAATTGATTTTTCTTGAATTGTTGTGTTTTCCAATTATCGCTATTCAGAAAATCAGTAAGCCCATTAAAATACAAGCAGTAGAACTTTTCAAAAACGAAACTGCCACAAAAATGCTCCAATTTACATCCAATAAAAGTTATTATCAAACTTTTCAATTACAGTCAATCCCAAATCTCCATGACAATGACACCTACATAGAAAAAAAATAATTTTCACAATGAAATCTCAGTTAATCAAAAATTGATTTATGCTTTGTGAATTACCCATTGAAATATTAATGAAATTTTAATTAGACTTTTTTCCTCTCATTTTATCATGATTGAGTGTGCTGTTGTAAATTAATGCTGATGACTTTACGATAATTGAGAGAAATGAAATTTTTTTTCTCTTTTATTTGAATAAAAATTCAATTAGTGTACCTCAAACTTTTTTCAAGTTCTGACGCTGATCTTTAATGACATGACGTTCTCATTTTATTGACTTTTTATCTTTATTATTCTGGTGAGTGATGACTAAGTACGTCAGAATTTTTGACTGAAAAATATTTTTAATGAATGAATCTTCTCGACGTTTCCAGGCAATTAAAGATAAGAATTAAAGATTATGTAAAGTCATCTAATTGTGTTAACAAGCAACCTTGAGATTTGGATTTCTTAAAGTGATTTGGATAAAAATTGAGATATTTGACTAGCTTGTAGATTGAATGCTTGTTAAGAATGTGCGAATTTTAAGATACATTTTAATGAGCTAGGTCAGTTGAGCTAAGAAGAGATGAAACCGAGGATCTAAATTTATTAGCACCAATCTTCAGTTCCGCTTTCAACCAAAAATTTTAATTTCGGCAACAATATTTCTTCATTATCTCAACCAAACCACCAAGACACCAACAAAAAAAAATATTAATTCCAAAAAAATCTCTACAAAAACAAACGACGAATTAATGAAATTTAATTTTTATCTCATTTATTCCAGCCTACACGCAATAAACTTAAGGAGAATTACAGTTATGCTGTGCGTAACTAAATTTATTCATAAAAGTGATAATAAAAGAATTCACATTAAGTCCTATGAGCGCCAAAAAGCATATTTAAAATTATGTTAGAATATTTTAATGGCATCTCCTTTGAGACTGTTTCATCTTCATCTCATTTTTTCCCTCCCAACATTCTTATCAAATTCAGCGCCGTTATCCAAAAAATTAGCTCATTGGGGAATTAGAGGAAGTGGAGTTAATGGCCTGTGGCACATAAAATTCCTTAATTTGCTTATTTATGCAAATAACGGCTTTCGTGGGTTTCTATCTCAGCTGTTTCAAATGCTCGTTGCTGTTTGTGATGGCATGTGCTGTAGTCAGAGAGAATTTTTGTGATTTTTCATTTTTTTTATGGGCTGAGTTAGAGCTTAAAGTGTGTTAAAGAGGGAATCCTGAGAATGATTTGATGTTGAATCAAAGGAACTTAAAAGATTAGCTTTCTAGACTTTAGTACCTAAAATAAAAATAGCGCTAATAGTAAAATAGCGCTAAACTTCCAAAACTGAAGACCTCTATAGTCTTCATGCATGAATCATAGTGCATATAGTGGAACCAGATGTATTTAATTGCCAAAATGCTGAATTGAAGTAAATGTGTCAGTGACTGGACTGCGGCGAGTTTTGAATTTATTGTTTCCACTCTTTTTGGATGCCAAAGTTCGATTCTCATTCAAGCTGACCAGATTTTTCAATGTCACTGTCAGCATATCTTTTAATTCAAAAAGTAGCACAAAGTAAACCCTATAAAACCACAGAAGACCCACGAAAAATCAGAACTTATCACATACCCACTCAGCATCTTCCCAAAACCCCACGATGGATGGCAACATCAAATAAATTGTTGCCATTGCTCTTGTTTCATATCTGAAGAATACAAAAAAAAAATTCACAGTTCATTGAAAATTTTTTCAGCTTTTGATTTTTATTGCCTTAGCGTGCATTATAGCCGTGTATATGAAAATGTAAATGTATGATACTTTATCTTTATGATGTGCTGCAATAATGTATGCTTGAGTTGATAACTGCTTCAATGTTCTCAATTCTCATATATCAAAAAGATTTTTCAATTGTGAAAAACGAGAAAGAGCTTTGATTGTGATGGAAATGGAAGTAAATTCAATGATTTTTTTTTATTCAAATGGTTGCTGGGAAGTGTGCGGGATGTTGATTCAATCTTATCAACTGGAATATTTGAGTTGTGTTATAGCAAACTTCTATTGATAGGCTTAAATTCAACATTTATCAGAATTTAAAGCTTCATTAAAATCCGCTCAATAATTTCCATAAAATATCCTTACTGCCTCGATTTCCGATATCAAAATTAATTACTAATTAAATATTCAATCATTTCCTCATTCATGCCATAAGCAACCCTAAAAGTAAGCAAAAATATTATTCAAGCCCACAAATCAGTATCATTTTAAATAATTGATGTCAATTGACATCTAATTTCCTATTCGTAATCATCAAATTTCCTCAAGCTATTCCAAAACCATAGTAATGAGCTATAACAGCATTAATAATAATATTGTATAATAAATAATATGAATTGAATGGATGAGATTAGGAGGAATTTTTCTGTAGTTATGCTTATCTCATGTTCTAGTGCTGACTGTAGATGAATTGTCAGTCACTTTGGTAGTTTATGTTGGTC